ACACACACACACACACACACACACACACACGCAGACAGACACACACACGCAGACAGACACACACACACAGAAGTGCTCTCAAGGGCTTTTTTGGCGCTTTATTTCGTCGCAGCTATATTTACTCTTAGCCATACGTCCTCTGTTCTGCTCAGACATGTCACAGAAACCTGACAGATTTAACCACAATGTGTAGATTTCCATATTTGTACTGATTTTAATTTTTTTTTATACAGGAAAGATTCCCAGCTGCGTTGTGGTCATTTGCATAAGCAGACATTTACTGCACGAAACACAATCTTAAAACTTCAGTGTGAATTATGATTTAACATCACAACCATTTGTACTGTTTGTAAGCAGCGGTAAAAAGGTTTAAAACCTTCAGAATGATGAAAGTAATTAACTGAATTACTTGTTGCAATAAGTGTTTATGCTCTTTTTGAGCTTACACTGTGAAAATGAGTCGACTAAAAATAAATTAAAATTACCAGATTATAGTCTGAATCATTTCAAATTAAGTGAAAAGAGAAAAACTAAATATAAAGAACATACAAGGAATAATGAAAGTTTCCATGTATTGCTACACTTTTTTATTCACTTGCTTGTCAAAAATAGAGTGTGAAGATGTTTAATCCCACCCCTTCACCATTATCAATTTTTAACTAATGTAATTCCTTAATAAGGTCTACAAACGAGTCTAGATGTCGTAAAATTAAATACTGTTTTATTTTTATAATGCAGTAGATGACCACTTCAAGGTAGTTTAAATATTTTAGGCAAGTGATTTGAAATGTTTTTGAATTTGGTCGTAGAAAAAGGTTTTAAAATCTGTTTTCTTAGTCCGGAGCTTGTTGTTGAAGCTGGGGACAGTGTCTCCTCCAGTCACACCTGCGACTCCTTTAGGAAAAAAAAAAAACAGACACTTCTAACATAATCTGTGTCATGGTGTATAAAATATGCATAACCGGTGACGGGCAGCGTGATGCAGATGTTCCACGCATGAGTTCCCGAGAAACAAAAACAAACCTTGCACTGCCAGGGAGAAAAACAAAAGCATGATTTCTCACATTATTGCCCCTGACAATTTGATGCCCTCCTCTAAAGGTTTAAATTTCCAAGGAGCCAGACTTTCTTGTAATCTTTTGAAAGTGGTTTATAATAACATTTTCTTCAGGCTTTTAGACTTCAGACATGTTTTATACTTTTTGTGTCGAGTCCACTGCAACAGCCTTTAAAGTAGTATTTTTTTATTTTCCATTTTTAAGCTTTTTAACTCTGYTGTGTGACTCACTGAGGCTGTTCAGACTTGTTACATATACAGACGTCTGCTGATGTAACCGTGTTATGGTTTTGACATTACCACTGTTCTGAGTTCTGTGTTGCATTGTTGTAGTCATCTCTTGATGAGAGGAGACTGAAAGGCATGCGAATGGTTAGTGACTTCACAGAGCTCAGTGTCAGAGCAAAGACTGGAAATGTTAACTTGAGTGCACTGACAGCTGCAGTAAGGTGAATATATAATGAAAAAACTTATTTTTGTGAAGAAAGACCGTCCATCATTAAACAGAGGTGGAGGCCTCCGTTTTCAGTTGTCCCCCTCCTACAGCGCGGCCATTGCCAG